TAGTACATCCAGTTTCCTAACACAAACGGCAGTACTCATAAAGGGACATATGGGACCCAGTACAATAACAGTGGGTGACTTCAGTGTCCTACTCTCATCAACAGATGTGTCATCCAGACAAATCAACAGAGAAACATCAGAGCTACCCTGTAGTTTAGATCAAATGGACCTAGAAGGTATCTACAGAATATTCCATCCAGCAACTGCAAATACATACTCTTTTCAGGAGGTGATGGACTTCTCTAAGACAGGTTGTATTTCAGGCCATAAGGCAAATCTGAAATACAAAAAACTGAAATAATTTGCACCTTATCAGATCATAATGGAATGAAACTAGAAATCAATATTAAGAGAAACTGCAGCATTCATATGAATCCATAAAGATTGAGCAATTACACTTTTGAGTGAGCAATCGTAGAAATCAGGAAGGAAATAAAAAAAAATTCTAGAATCAAATGTAAATGGAAACACACATACCAAAAACAGTGGGTATAGCAAAGGCAGTCTGAAGAGGAAACTTTATAGCAACAAGTGTCTGCATTAAAAAAATCATAGAGCTATCAAGTGAGTAACTTAATGATGCATCTTACGGTCTCAGAAATCAAGAACAAGTAAACCCAAAATTGATAGATGGAAAGAAATAATAAAAATCAGAGCTGAAATCAAGGAAATAAGAGTCTGAAAGAACATTGCAAAGGGTCAGTGAAATAAAGAGGTGATTCTTTGAGAAGGGAAAAACAAGATTAATAAACCCTTACCTAAAGTAACCAATAGCAGGAGAGAGGACTGAAATTAATAAATGTAGAAATGAAAAGGAATACTACACTGAAATCAGAAAGGTCACTAGGGATTGGTTTGATAATTTATATTCCCATAAATTGGAAAACCTGGAAGAAATGGATAAATTTCTAGATGCATATGATCTCTTAAAATTGAACCAAGAGGAAATGAAAGGCCTAAACATATCACTAATAAGTGATGAGACTGAATCAGCAATAAAGTCTCCTAGCATGAGAACCACGACTGGATAGATGCACTGCTGAAATTTTACCAGTGTTAACACCAATGATCTTCAGGCTATTCCATAAAATAGAGAAGGAACTCTACTAAATAATCATTATATAGAACCTGCATTACCCTGATACCAAAACTGGATAAGGACTGAAGAAAAAAAACTGTTCACCAATATGCTTGAAGAACATAGACACAAAAGTCCTCAACAAAATACTTGCAAGCCAAATTCATAATGCATTAAAAAGATCATACATCAGGATGAAGTTTTCATTCCATGGATGTTTGGACATATACAGATCAATAAATGTAAGCCAGCCCACAAATAGAATCAAGGATAAAAGTGACATTTGATCATCTCAATAGATGCAGAAAAAGCCTTTGCCAAAATACGTATCCCTTCATGATAAAAGCACCGAAGAAACTAGGTATAGAAGGATTGTGCCTCAACGTGGTAAAGGCTATTTATGACAATCCCGTGGCCAGACATCATCCTGAATGGGGAGAAACTGAAAAAGTTGTCTCTAAAATCAGGAATGACACAAGGATGTCCAGTCTTAAGAATTTCATTCAATATTTTAGAGCAATAAGGCAGGAGAAAGAAAGAAAACGCATGCAAATAGAAGCTAATGATACCATCCTATACTTAGAAGACCTTAAAGACTCCACCAAAAGACTTAGACCCTTCACCGAAGTATCAGGCTGCTAAGTCAACATACAAAACCCACTAACCACAGACATGCTGAGAAAGAAATCAGGAAAACAGTTTCGTTCACCGTAGCCTCAGGAAGGTTTAATCTATGATCTAATCAAGGAGGTGAAAGACCTCTACAGTGAAAGTTATAAAACATTAATGAAAGAAATTACTGAGGAAGACAGTAGAAGATGGAGAGACCTCCAGGTGCACGGATTGGCAGATTTAAGATTGTCAAAATGGCCATGTTACTGAAAGTGATCTGTAGTGTCAATGGAATTACCAACAAAATACCAGTGGTATTCTTCATGACTATAAAAAACAATTCACATAGAAGCTCAGAAGACCTCAAATAGCTACAATAATCCAGAACAAAAAGTATCACAAAGTGGATTTCAGATTTACTAGAGAGCCATAGTAACAAAAAGAGCATTGTAAAATTAGCATAGAAACAAACACAGAAAGCAATGGAATGAATACAGGGCCCAGAAAAAGCCATGTGGCTACGTTCTGTACTTGATTCTTGATAAAGGTGCCAAAAACGTGTGGGAAAAAAGACGACCTCTTCAACAATGGGTCCTGGGAAAACTGGATAGTCACATGCAGAGGACTGAGATCCCTGTGTCCCCTCCTGCACAGAAACAATTTAAAATGGAGCAAAGACCTCAGTCTCTGAAACTATTTGAGAAAAACATAGGGGAAACCCTTGAAGTCATAGGCAACCACTTTATGCTTACCAAAGATAGCAAGAACCAACAAATGGGGTTACATTAAACTAAAAAGCTTTTGCATAGCAAAGGAAATAATCAACAGCCAAGAGATAGCGTATGACACTGTCAAGAGCCAAGAGACAGCCAAGAGACATAATGGGAGAAAATCGTAATATAATCGATACATGGGCAAATGCATGTGTGGTGGCATGCCTGTAATCCCAGCACTGGGGAGGCTGAGGCAGGAGGACTTTTGAGTTCCAGGACAGCCTGGGGTACAAACCTGCCTCAAAGAAAACCATAAATAAAAAGGCAAGCGAGTTGAAGTCACTTTTCAAAAGAAGAAATACAAGTGGCCAATATTTACATTAAAAACACTCGACATCTTTAGCTGTCAGGGAAATTCGATGAAAACACTGGGGTTCCCTCTCACCCGAGTGAAAATGACTGTCATCAAGAAAAACGAACAAATCTGGTGAGGATCTGGGTTGGAAAGCAGTATGGAAGTCCTATAAAAACTAATAGAAGACACTATAATCGACGCTAGTGCTCCATGCAGTCAGAATCAGCACGCATCTGTGTTTAATGGCACTTCCACAGTAGCCACGTTAGAGTCAGCCGAGGTGTCCGCCAACAGATGGATGGATGTGCAATGTGTATATGCACAACAGAATGTTACTCAGCCGTCAGGAAGAGTGACGTCATCTCACTTGCAGGAAACTGGATGGAACTGGAGATCATCTTGTTAAGTGAAGTAAGTCAAACTCAGAAAGACAAGTATTGCATGTTTTCTTTCCTATGTAGAACCCAGAAAAAATAAGGACAAGATGAAAGTAGGAGGCACACCTCCAGAAAAGAGGAAGGAGGCGAAGGGGAGTGGGAAAGGGGATCAGAGAGGGACCTGGGATTTGGATACATCACAGTGTGCTGTATCCATGTATGAAAATGGCGCTAGAGCCAGTGCCCAGCTACAAAAGAAACACCCGTAACATGTTGCTAGTTAGCCACTTCCTGCATGAGGGAGTTGAAGGGGCAACTTAAACACAGGTATTTGAAACTTCTGGAATATTTGAGTGTTTTGAAGTGTCCTTAAAATGCAGGACATATCTTGTGAGCAGAGAGAGAATAGGGGTTGCCACATAGGAGAGTAGATCTGCCTGTCCTCCTCCTCTGTGGAAACTGTTCTTGTAAATGAAAACACCTGGGCGAGGACTCACTCTGTTCTGTAGCAAGTCAGGTCCATTGTCTTTGAACCACTGGCGGTACTGGAGCTAGTCTCAAAGCAGACATTGTTTTTATTTGCTTAGGGCACGCCTGCTTGAAATTCTAAAATAGCTCTCCTGAGACCACTATGTTAAATTTCTTCTCTTTGTATGCTAGTGCGTTTATAATTTTCCTGCTTAAAATGAAAATATCTCATTTATTCCCTTTGTTTTTAAGGTCACTGCTACATAATCATAGAAAATTAAGTGAATTTTGAAAAATCAACATTGAAACAGATCTTAGGATCAGGGATGCAGCTTAATGACAGAATGCTTGCCTGTCATGCATGAGGAGGGAGATGGGGTGGGGGAGGGAGAGAGACCAATAGAGAGAAAGATATCTCCCAGGATATAGTTTGCACCTGAGTGTTTTGTTTTTTAATTTTTGTTGGTTTCCAAAAACTGACATTGAACTTTATGACAGTAGCCAGGTTACTGTTACCAAGATTTCAGTCCAAAAGGATTCAATAGTACATTTAAACTCTGTTTTAAAAGTTTACTTTTTGGTTGGAGGGCATGGCTCAAGTGGTAGAGCGTTTGCCTAGCAAGTGCAAAGGCCCTGAGTTCAATCCCCAGCACTGCAAAAAAGAAAGATTAAAAAAAAAAACAAAAAACTTGGCATACAGTCCTCTACTAAGCTTTGCATAAGGGAAATGTTTAAGAAAGTAAAAACACTCCATGACCTTATGTCCAGGGGCAACTCACCGTGTTAAGGCATCTTACTGTCTCCTTTTTATGTCCTGCAGTCATGGGATGCCCTCAGGGCTGTGTGCTTGTTATGCAGGTGCCCCACCACTTTTGAGCCACGCCCCCAGCCCCTTTCATTATTTTTTGAAGTAGAAACATCTTTTCAGAATTTTTTTAAATTTATGTTCTTATTATTGCTGTGCTAAGGGCACATTGTGACATTTGCAGAAGTTCTTAGCAATGTATCATAGTTGAACTCCCCCCTCCATCGTTCTCCTTTATCCCCTATCCCCTAAAGTAGAACCATCTTGCCGTGGTTGAGATCATGCCCTCCATATAGGTTCATATTTTAATTTTTTCCCTAGTAACTCGCCAAAGAAAAGCCGGAGTGGCTTGCATTCCCTCATTCTGTCAGCCGACAATGTGTAACACATAAACACAATGTAAGCGTCGCACTCTGACATCCACGTGTTTGCAGACGCTATGTTTGATTCTTCAAGGTTTATTGTCTTTCAGGGGCGAAGTCGACTCTAATATAAAGCAGACTGAGAGGAATATCTGTGTTCTGTTGCGGCTCAGACAAGGAACCTGCCTGGAGTACCTGAACGTTGTTTAACAAGGTTTCTTTGTTTGTAGATTGCTCTCTTTGGGGCTAAGACTGTTGGCCGGAGAAGTCCTGATGAACCGGTGCTGAGCAAAGCTGAATTTGTTGAGAAAGTTCGGCAGAGTAACCAGGCCTGTCACGATGGAGACTTCCACACTGCCATCGTCCTCTATAATGAAGCCCTGGCCGTCGACCCTCAGAACTGCATCTTGTACAGCAACAGATCTGCAGCCTACATGAAAATCCAGCAGTACGACAAGGCACTGGACGACGCCATCAAAGCCCGGCTTCTCAATCCCAAATGGCCGAAGGTAGCACTCTCATTCCTGTCACAGAATCCTGTGTTCTCATGACATTCTGTTGATCAGTGCAGTCACTCATAAAGTGACCAGAGTGAGCTCACTGGACTTGTGAGCTAGTGACTGGCTTCCTTTTTAAGTGCTGAAAGTGGGCTTTCTCTGTTGAGTTTAATTCTTTTCCTGTGAGGTTGAAATTTTGTTTTTTCTCTTCACTTCTCGGTAGGATACGTTGTAGTTATTTAGGTTTCCCATGTCCCTTTTCTACAGATGTTTTAAATGGGATGTAGTGATATGTCTCTCTCCATCAGTCAAAACTAACTACTTTTATTCCATCTTGTTTTAACTTAACTGCTTGTTTTCAGAATGATGTTTACTCAGGGAGAGTTCATGTTTCCTAATCATTGTAATTATCTATGTTCCCTTCAAGAATGCAAGGCTTGAGTTATTAGCTTTGTTTTGACTTACAATAAGATTATGTCATAATAAACTCATCCAAGTTGAAAACTGCATAAGTCAAAAATTCATTTAATATACCCAGTCTACCAGACATCACAGGTTGGCTTAAGCCTACCTTAAATGTGTTTAGAACATGCATCCTGGCCTACAGTTGGGCAGAATTCTCTAGCAGTAACTGGGTATGGTTCTTCATTCTTGTAATTCCAGAATTTGGGATGCAGAAGCAGTAGGCTTTGTAAGTTCAAGGCCAACCTGGGCTGCATAGCAATTCCAGGACAGCCTAGGCTACATAGTGACATGCTGTTTCAAAAAACAAACAAACAGCTGCGCCTGGTGGCTCACGCCTGTAATCCCAGGTACTCAGGAGGTGGAATCAGGAGGACTGTGGTTCAAGCTAGTCCCAGCAAAATGTTAGCGAAAGCCCATCTCAACCAACGAGTTCAGTGTGAATGCACACCTGTGGTCCCAGCTCCTGGGAGACATAGGAGGATTTCAGTCTGAGGTAGGCCCTGGGCCAAAAAGGCCCTATCTGAAAAATAACTAAAGTGAGAAAAAGAGCTGGAGGTGTGGTTATAGTGGTGGAGTATCTGCCTAGTAAGTGTGAGGCCCTGAGTTCAAGCCCCAGTACCCCCAAAGCAAACAAACAAGAGTCAGAAAAATTACCTAACCAGAAAAATTGTCTAACAGAAAGTCTATTTGACTTTGCAGAATATCTCTGTAATCAGTTGTATTTCTATATTCAAACAATACTGGCAACACAGTGCACTGTGGAGTATTTCATGCCGTGCAGTAGGCTGTAGAGGGTCACACACCCTCACGATGACATGACTGATTGGACCGTGCTCCCTGTCACTGCCCCTGCTCAGCATCAACACATGTTGTCACCCTAGAGCAATGTCACAATTCACACTTTGAATCGTATTTTCTACTGAGTGCTTATCACCTCGCACCATTAGAAAGTAAAAAAATCACAAGTTGGGGGCCATCTTTGCCGTCTGACCACCTAAGTGTGGGGCTAATACTCAGTTCTGTTTCGTTCCATTGATCCGTGGATCCTTGTCTTCACCCCAATGGCCCTTAACTGCGGGTTTACAGTAAGTCTGATATCAGATTCGGTGTGCTTTTTCTAAGTTTTTTTTTACTGTTTTCTGGCTTTGCATTCTATGTAAGTTGTAGAATCAGGCTCTTCAAAAAGCACACTGGAAAATTAATGGGTCTCAATTGAATTTTTAGACCAATTTGGAGAGAATTGTCATTTTAACATTACTGGATCTTCAAATGCATGAACATGGTATATCTCTCCTTTTTATTAGACCTTTTTTAATGTCCCTTTGAAGAAGCTCTCTGTAGTATTTATTCAGGTCTTTCATATCTTTTGTTAAATTTATTTCAAAATAATGTTTTTTTTTTGATTTATCATACATTATGAGGTGATTTCATTGCAATGATCCCATTTATGCAGAAAGCATACCTTGAACAAGTTCACCCTCCATTACATCCCTTTCCCTCCTCCCTCTCCCCTCTTTCCAACGGCGTTTGGTGGGTTTCATTACTGTCTCCATAGTTCTATGCGCAGCGTGCCTCCATCCTCTTCACCCTCAGGATCCTTTGCTTTTCTTCCTCCCCTGTGTTGGTCCCCCAGCAGTGCCCCACATACATTCTTTCCCATTATTATTACCATTACTATCATCACCATCATCTGAGGTCTAGGTTCTCAAATGAGCGAGAACATGCGACATTTGACCTTTTGAGCCTGGCTTTTCACACTTACCATGATGCTCTCCAGTTCCATCCATTTTCCTGCAAATTTCTTTTTGAAATAGAGTCTTACTGTGTTGTCCAGGCTGGCCTTGAACTCCTGGGTTGAAGCAATTCTCTTGTCTCAGCCTCCCAAGTATTTGGGACAATAGGCATGTATCACTGTGTTTGGCACTTTTTTTTTTTTTTTGATGCCATTAGAAATTGCCCGGCAATTTTTAATTTTCCAATATTGTGAGTCTATGGCAATAAAAATATTTTTGTCCTGTGTATCATGTGACCCTGTTAGATTCACCTTTTGAGTTCTACTAGGTTCCTTCTTTACAGGTTGTTTGGATTTTCTAGGCACATTACCGTGTTGGGTGCAGTTTCTTCCTTGCCTTGTTTGTCTTGGGCATCATGTGTGTCAGGGTTAGTCTGCTTTGCTGGGGCCACTTCACAGGGCCCGCAGCGGTGGGGGGCACAACCCCTCCCCTCCTCCCCGCTCCTCCCCCCTTCCCCCCCGCCCCTCCTCCCCCCCGCCCTCCTCCCCCTTCCCCCCGCCCTCCTCCCTTCCCCTTCCTCCCCCTCTCCCCTCCCCTCCCCCCTCCCCTCCCCTCCCCTCCTCTCCCCCCGCCCTCCCCTCCTCCTCCCCCTCCCCTCCTCCCCTCCTCCCCTCCTCCCCCTCCCTCCTCCTCCCCCCCTCTCCTCCCCCGCCCTCCTCCCCCTCTCCTCCCCCCGCCCTCCTCCCCCTTCCCCCTTCTTCCCCCCCCCTCCCCTCCCCCCCCCTCCCCTCCTCCCCCTCCCTCCTCCCCCTCCCTCCTCCCCCTCCCTCCTCCCCTCCCTCCCCCCGCCCCTCCTCCCCTTCCTCTCCTCCCCCGCCCCTCCTCCCCTCCCCTCCCTCCCCCCCGCCCTCCTCCTCCTCCCCCTCCCCTTCCTCCCCCCGCCCCTCCCCCTTACCCCTCCTCCCCCCTCCCCCGCCCCTCATCCCCCTCCCCTTCTCCCCCTTCCTCCCCCCTCCCCCGCCCCTCCTCCGCCCTCCCCCCTCCTTGTGGGGAGCGTGGAGCTGTTCACCGAGGGGCGATACCTGTCAGTCCTGGGATGAACGGTTGTGGGGCGCCGTTGACATTTTCTCCTTAGTCCGTTAATCTAGTAGATTTAATGAATTTATCTCACGTCGAATCAGGAGCGGGTTCACGGGGTTAGTCTTCACGTGTTGTTGGATGCAGAGTGTAAATTCGTTAAAAAGTCCGACATCCGGGAACGTGAGCGAGGCGCGCGCTTGTGCGCAGTGCGCATGTGCGGGGTCGTCACGTGCCCTCCTCGTGCTGGTTCTGCCGCAGTCACAGACAGAGCCCCGCGCTTGCGACGGGGCGGCCTGCAGCCTGCTCTCCGCCCCGTGGCTCTGCGTGCTTCTGGTGTTGAGCGATTTCGTCCGAATGCATTATTTCTCCTTTACGAGAGAGACTGCTTCAGTGAAGCCATCTGTGCCTGTGCTTTTCTTTCTCTTTTTTTATTGTTGTGCTGGGTGGGGGTACACTGTGGCATTTGCAGAGGTTGTCACAATGTATCAAGTATATTGCACTTGAACTCACCCCCACAGTGCTCCTGTCCTTTTCTTGGAGGAAAGCTTTTCTTTTTTTCTGTACTGGGGTTTGAACGCAGGGCCTTATGCTTGCTAGCAGGCACACTACTGCTTGAGCCACAACTCCAGCCTATTTTTTTTTGTTGTTCTTTTGAGATAGGGTCTGGCCTGGAACCCACTATGTAGCCCAACATGACTCCAAATTCAGGAATTCTTCTGCCTCAGCCACCAAGTGCTGGTATTATAGATGTGCACCACCATCCCCGGGCTGCTTTATCCCATAAATTTTGTCATATGTTTTTGCTGTCATTCAGTTCAGAATACTTTCTAATTTTCACTGTGAGAATATCTTTGTTTCATGGATTTCGTAGAAGTGTGTTGTTTACTTTTCAAATATTGGTGTTAGCTTGCTTATCTTTTTGTTGACTTCTCAATTTCATGATGCTGTGTTCAAAGAACATATTTTTCTCACAGCAGTGCTTTCTCACTTGCCGACGTTTGTTTTATCGCCAGCATAAGTTTTGTCCGGGTGAGTCTCCATGGTGTTCTCTGCAGCTGAGAGGCGGGTCCCCTGGGTATCAGTTCAGTCAGGGTGCTTGCTACTGCCGTTCTTACCTTCTGTCATTGCTGCCACACCTGGCTTATTTTCAGTGAGGGTCTTGCCAACTTTTGCCTGGGTTGCCCTTGAAATGAGAATGTACTTTCTCCACCTTCTGAGTAGGTGGGATTACAGGTGTGTGCCATCACACCTGGCCTCTCAGTTCTTTTTTGAGCATTTTTCCCTTATAATGATCTCAGTAATGTTACGAATCCTTTCTTTTCCTGCCAGTTAGTTTTTTAGAAAGAATGATGATGCCAAAAAAGCTAAAACATTTTATTAAGATAATTTATTGCAGAGGAAAGACTTATTTTTCACTATCTATACTCTTTTGAATAACTTAGCCTGTTGCTTTAAAAAATTTTAAATTATTTATTTGTTTATTTTTCTCACTTTTATTATTCATTGTATGGGGGGATTCATTGTGCCAATTCCGAATAGCCTTATATCGTACATTGGTTGGATTCCCTCATCTCCCACCCCCATCTTCTTCCCCGCCCTACTTAAACCAATTACAAGAGGTTTCCTAGCATAGCAGTGCAGGATTCCAGGACACTGCAAGAGAGTGCAGACACAGAGGCACAGCACTTTTTTTTTTTTGGGTGGGACTGGGGTTTGAACTCAGGACTTTGTGCT